ATAGTTACACAGAACTTATACACCCAGTCTTACTGTTTACAGTTTATACTGTTCTAGTTACACAGAACTCATACACCCAGTCTTACAGTTTAGACTGTTCTAGTTACACAGAACTTATACACCCAGTCTTACTGTTTACAGTTTAGACTGTTCTAGTTACACAGAACTTATACACCCAGTCTTACTGTTTACAGTTTATACTGTTCTAGTTACACAGAACTCATACACCCAGTCTTACAGTTTAACTGTTCTAGTTACACAGAACTCATACACCCAGTCTTACAGTTTATACTGTTCTAGTTACACAGAACTCATACACCCAGTCTTACAGTTTAGACTGTTCTAGTTACACAGAACTCATACACCCAGTCTTACAGTTTAGACTGTTCTAGTTACACAGAACTTATACACCCAGTCTTACTGTTTACAGTGTATCCTGTTCTAGTTACACAGAACTCATACACCCAGTCTTATTGTTTACAGTTTATACTGTTCTAGTTACACAGAACTCAAACACCCAATCTTACAGTTTACAGTTTATACTGTTCTAGTTACACAGAACTCAAACACCCAATCTTACTGTTTACAGTGTATACTGTTCTAGTTACACAGAACTCAAATGCCCAATCTTACAGTTTACAGTTTATACTGTTCTAGTTACACAGAACTCATACACCCAGTCTTACTGTTTATACTGTTTTTCCCAGATTTAACTCAAGCACCTAGTTTTACAGCTTACAGTATTTTGGCTAAACTCAACTCAAGTACTTAACTTTGTATTCAGAGTTTATACTGTTCTGTGATGTAATATTTTTTTGTGTTTGCATCATATTGTCTTCAAACCAATTTTCTATAAAATTGGTGTTTCTGAGAGTATTATCTTGTGTGATACAAATTTTTTGGAAGAATTGTCTTGTTTCTTACACTGGTATTACTGGTGTATTTAGTACATTGACTGTCACATCTTCTGGCTTACTTGTAACGGTACTGATTGGCCCTAAATCTTACGTTTCTACCTGGTACTTAGGTTGGAGAAGTCGTAAAAGTAACCAAAATCAACATCAATGGACAGTGGGAAGGAGAGCTGAGGGGCAAAACTGGACATTTTCCCTTTACTCACGTAGAATTTATCGACTCTGAAAATTCAGAAGAAGACGAGTCCTAATTCGTGCTACCTGCTGAATGTCTGTAGCACGAGGAGAAAGACTGATACTCCTAAGTGATGCAAATGAAACTGTATAGCTAGCAACCTCAAGCAGGGTTATATTTGATTTGTAGACATTGAGTTTTTAATTCATTTTGTGTTAAAACCATCAATGTAACAGTTAAGTCGTGTATTCTTCTCTTTTTAAAAGACAAACAAACTTCTTGTCACTAGTTTATTTATATCTTTGTGTTGGATAAAGAGAAATTGTTTTCATGACTTGTATTATATGATGTATTTTACTCGTATAGAGGTAAAAAGTTGTTACAGGAGTGATGTGTGTTACCTTTCATGTATTTTAGTTACATATAAGCCTTATCTAGTCTTCAGTTTCGAATAATTCCCAATGAGAACATGACTTAATTTAGGTCAAACACGCAAATATAGGGAATACAGCTGTTGCCACTTTTCAACCAGTTGTGTATCAATAAAATAACGTTTCTCCTATTTAACAACCAAAGAACTGTGTTAACACACTATTCACCTAAGCAAAATGTATTTGCTCATATTTAATAAATCCATTTGAGAACTGCAGTTGAACAGATATGTAATGAAGAATGTTTCTCAGGTATCTGTATTAGGTATGGTAAGTAGTTGGATGTAGAGTTTATTGATGTACTACTCTTTCTGTCTTTTGATGTCGGAAGAATAAGGTTTTTAGTTAAGCTGTGATCTTCCTTCTCATCCATTATAATCAAATATGTTTCATGTTACATCATCAAAAGGTGAAGAAGAAGTGAAAAACGAGATTGATTCAAACACTTGACAAGGAGAAATTGTTTATTAGTTGTGTTGAATAGTTCTTTAGTGACCTGAGACTTTGTAACAACCAGACTCATTGTTATAGACAGGAATGTGCAGAAGATGGTTGATGCTCGTACTTCTTTTTAATTGTCAACATTTGTATGTATTACATTCGTGAACAACTCCAGTTGGGGGAGGGCAACATCACTTCTAAACAACAGTTCATATGAATATCTACTGTTCACAAAATATTTTGGTTTTATCCAATAAACACCCTGGAAAAATCAGAAATGGACAGTTGGACGTACAAACTGTAGCTACTTTTATGACTACGTAGCCTTGGAATATTACCCTGAAGGAAAAGGAAGCTTGTGTTTATAATTTCATATAAAATAGTAGCTGCAGCATATATAGAACTGTGTTTTATATCTGTTACTACTCCAATAAGGGAACTTAGTGTGCAGAGAATATATGGTATATTAGTATACTCATTACACTATTGAAAGCTAAAACTATGAAACACACCAACTCTAAGATATCTAAATAACACTATAAAATAGCTCAAAGTTAACACTTGATTAAAAAAATAAACAAACAACAGAAAATGTAAGCCATAATCATAAAATAAAGTAACTTATTTAGTTAACCCAAAATAACTGTCAGGGAACATAATTTAGATTCAAATGGAACTGTACAAAATTAATACCAAAAAATCAATTCATAAAAATTATTTATTTATAATAAATACACAGTGGGTAATCCAATAGTAAGTGTAAGATTGGTGTAATCTTAGTAATTGAAAAAAAGAGGACTATTTTTGGGGGTAAGGCCTGGGCATGCCAGACTGTGGAGCTAAGGTTCCCTGGTTCTTGTTCCATTGGTTGATTGGTGGTGCTGAATAGTTTCCAACCTTTTGTTCAAAGTTAGGGATGATTTGTGCAGACATGTGGCTTTAGACAAAATCACAACATTTTCAGGGTATTGCTGAGAAAAAAAAAATACAAACATTCACCTTTTATTAAATATATCCCATAATTTCATCTAATGGAACATTTTATTAATAAAATGCTTCATTTTTCAGATCTGATTCTGAAGTGTACTGTGTATCAAACCAGACTTTTAAACGTTCAGATCTGATTCTGAAGTGTACTGTGTATCAAACCAGACTTTTAAACGGGTTTGATACACAGTATACTTCAGAATCAGATCTGAATGTTTGAAAGTCCGGTTTGATACACAGTACACTTCAGAATCAGATCTGAATGTTTGAAAGTCTGGTTTGATACACAGTACACTTCAGAATCAGATCTGAAGGACTTTCAAATGTTCAGATCTGATTCTGAAGTATACTGTGTATCAAACCGGAATTTCAAACGTTCAGATGTCATTCTGAAGTCTACTGTGTACCAAACCAGACTTTCAAACATTCAGATCTGATTCTGAAGTGTACTGTATATCAAACCAGACTTTCACACATTCAGATCTGATTCTGAAGTATACTGTGTATTAACCTTTGATATTAACACTTAATAATATGCCATCCTTATAGTTTTGTATTAGTTCTATACTTCAAATGTTTTAAGGTGAACAACTGAAAGAAGAAAATATTCACACACATGTATAATGACATTTTTGTTTCAAGTATTTTCTTTGTGTCTGTGAATGTAACAAACAAAGAGACACACAATGCTTTTACAACATGAAATGGTTGTATTTACTTTCCTCGTACTTGTGGACTTGATTTCATGACTCTAGTTGTGCACTTGTTAAGTTATAATTTCTGTACTTATTTTTAACCATATTATCAAGGTTTCTCCAACAGTATCAATATTGTTCTGGTCTAAACAAGAGGTCTGATTCAAATTATAGACCAAGTTCTAAGTAAAGGATACACTTATAAGACGGTGTATAGAGCACGAACAGGTTTTACAAGGATTTGAACAAGTTCTAAGTAAAGGATACGCTTATAAGACGGTGTATAGAGCACGAACAGGTTTTATCAGGATTTGAACAAGTTCTAAGTAAAGGATACGCTTATAAGACGGTGTATAGAGCACGAACAGGTTTTATCGTAGTTTCATCTAAATGAAAAATACATTGTAAAAATAAAACAAAATAAAAACAGTTAGCATTAGTTAAACCACGCATTAAAGCTTTTTTTCTTGCACTAGTTGGGACGTTTTAGTTGTTAAAACTGCCTCAAGCCAGGTTCTTTGCTGTTTTGCACATTTTAATATTGTGACCCTTTCCAACCCAATTGAAAACTACAAATATCTTGTTCTTTGATACTGGAGTAAAAGAATGGGGTTTTTAGGATATTTTTTCATTTAACTAATAAAATGAGTGCACAAACAGGTCTTACCAGTATTTGAAACAAGTAGATTTCCATACAATCAACACATGAGAAATATGCTTATAAGGTAGTTTATAGATGTTCTTTTGAACAGAATCAAAAGATTTTAAAACTAAACATGTTTTCTTTACATTAATATTTCCCAGCTTTTTAATTTCCATATAGATTTACGCTTAAAACAAGTTTTTCATGTTAATTGTCAGGATTGTGAAATATTACAATATTTCCAGGCAGTTTACTACTGACATAGATTACCGATATACATTGTGTTTTGCATTTATAGTAACAGAAAATTAGCATTTTCATATATAAAGATAAGCAAGTGGCTTGATAAAAAATTGAGTCATTCACCAATTAAAGCTCCTGCCTAGTGTAGAGGAGGTAAAGTGGTAAACATATGTTATAATAACCATCAGTTGTAGATTGAATAATATTTTCTAACAGAAAACCTAACAGTTAAAGAAGGATCCTGTATTACAGATGAATCTGTAGTAAGAATAGGGTAACTTCAGGAAGAGGATGGCACCTCTTAGGAGAGTGTGTCTTGGTTGTTAACATTTAATTGTTCCACTCATGAAATGGAAGTCCTATAATAAGTTAACAAGACTGTAGAAATTTAATATTATGATAAACTTTTGGCACGTTGAGTTTTCTTATTGGTTGAGTAGAAATGATTTATTACAAAGGTGCTTGTACTTGTATCACAAAGGTTTCAGTTCCTTGTTGTAACACCAAATAGTTCCACTTCTCTCTGGTAGTATGGAAATTTAACTAGTTCGGTGGTACCTTTAATGTTCTAGGTACTTCTGACTTCTCTAGTGGTCCGTTAGAATAAATATAGTATACCAGCATCTCTTTGAAGGTTGTGAAGTCAGTAGTATTTGTGATGAGTTGTACAGACAGGATTTACACACTCTTAGGCCTAGTGATGGCTATAAATAATGTCTTTAATATTGTTGTTTTTCTACTGTTAATAGCTGTTAGTGTTGGCCTTGGCCACTAAAAAAATTGTAATGTTAAATATAAAGATAACTCCCCCCCCCCCCTAAATTACAAACCAGAATGTAATTTAGATTAATTAAGCTACCAACTAGATCTTCTGTTACTCATTTGCAGTACTTGGAGTTTAATGTTGAACACTTTCGATACATATCAGTTCTGGCTTGAATGTTAGTAAAGAAAAGAAAGATGGCGTCAAGTATTTGTAAAGCAGAAAACGAAAGACATTATTCAGTTTATATGTGTATTTCCCATGATGTGTAATGTTATTATAGGTAATGAAATTTGATCAAAGCCTTTAAAGTTCATCTGCCTTCTTATGATTATCATGCATGTATACACCTGGAAAAAAGTTAAGCACCCCCGTGTTTTTTTCAAGTGATTCAGCTTCGACGTTCTTGTGACTG